TATCTCGGGAGGGAATGCGGGCATATCCTTAAAAAATTGAGGCGATGACGAACTGGCCGCAGCCAAAGAACCTCAAACAGTTACGTGGGTTCCTTGGTCTTACAGGGTACTATTGGCATTTCGTTGCTTACTACGCTTCGATCGCGGCGCCTCTGACAGAGTTACTCAAAAAAGATAATTTCAAATGGACAGATGAGACATCGGAAGCTTTTGCAAAGTTGAAAAGGGCCATGACAAACACCCCGGTTTTACACTTGCCAGATTTTTCAAAGGTTTTTTTGTGGAGACTGACGCATCTAATACCGGAATAGGGGGAGTATTAATGCAGGAAGGCCACCCGCTGGCGTATTTCAGTAAAAAATTGGGTCCTCGCCTGGTGGGAGCCTCCGCTTATCTGAGAGAGCTAAAGGCGGTGGTCGAAGCAATAGCTAAATGGCGCCAATACCTTATTGGGAGGCAATTCATCATACGTACAGATCATAAGAGCCTACGGGAACTAGTCACTCAAGTTATCCAAACTCCCGAACAACAACACTCTGTCTGGAAACTGATGGGGTATCAGTTATCCATTGAGTACAAGGCAGGTTTTTGAGAATTCCGCGACAGATGCTCTATCACGTTGCCATGACACGCCACACCCCCAGCTCCGGGCTGCCATCTCAGCGGGCAGGTATGCAATTTTGGATGATTTACTACGGGAAACCAAGATTATGTGGATCTCAGGGAGTTGCAGAACACCTTGCGCGAAGGGACTTTGGAGGATACTAGTTTTAGCATACAGAATGGGATCTTGATGTACAGAGGTAAATTTTTTATCAGTAAGGGCTCCAAACTGAAGGCCTTGCTGCTACAAGAGTTTCATGAAACATCGGTGGGAGGTCATGCCGAAGTGGAGAGAACTTTTTTGAGGCTCAGTGCTAATTTCTTTTGGAAGGGAATGAGAAATGATGTGAAGGAGTTTGTCGCTAAATGCATCACCTGCCAAACCATTAAGTATTCCACAGCGTCTTCGAGTTGTCTACTTCAGCCCCTTGAAATGCCAGAGAGAGTATGGGAAGATTTGGCTTTAGACTTCATAGTCGGGCTACCTAATTCACAAGGCAACACAACCATATTAGTGGTCATAGATCGCTTCACAAAATACGCCCACTTTGGAGCCCTTCCAACAAATTACTCAGCTTCAAAAGTGGCTGCGTTTTTCACGCACATGGTGATTCGGTTACACGGAATGCCGCGCACTCTGGTCTCGGACCGTGACCCCATCTTCACAAGCAATTTTTGGAAGAAACTCTTCGAGTTAATGGGCACCAAGTTAAAGATGAGTTCTTCTTATCATCCACAGACCGACGGACAAACATAAGTCACAAACCGGTACTTGGAATAGTACCTCCGGGCCTTTACATCAGAGAATCCGAAGCAATGGAGTCACTACCTCAGTTGGGCAGAATACCATTACAACACAAGTCATCATTCGGCGGTTGGCATGACCCCCTTTCAAGCTGTATACGGTAGAATTCCACCATCTATTCCGGCATACGTGCGTGGGGCTACTTCTGTGCAGGCAGTGGAGGACGAGCTATTGACTCAGGACTCGATTTTACAACAACTCAAGCAGTATTTGGAGCAAGCTCAGAACAAAATGCGACAATAGGCCAACAAAAGGCGTCGTGACATCCAGTTTAAGGTGGGGGATTTAGTCCTGGTAAAGCTTCAACCATACCGCCAGACTACCGTGGCAGCTCGCCTCAACTCCAAGCTTTGTCACCGGTATTTTGGACCCTTTTTGATTGTAGCTACAGCCGGACCAGTGGCTTATACCATTGAATTACCTGTTGGAAGCAAAATTCATCCAACTTTCCATGTTTCGCTGTTGAAAGCATTCAGAGGGGACAGACCCGTAGCTAGCTACCCTTTGCCGGAGCTCAGTCATGCCAATAAACCCATGTTTACCCCAATGGCAGTGTTAGCGGGAAGGGTCGTTGAAGTTCATCACAAACCACAGAAACAGGTCTTGGTGCAATGGTCTCATAGCCCACCCGAAGATGCCACTTGGGAGGAGCTCCATGCTTTTAGTCAACTGTATGACATTCCCGACCTTGGGGACAAGGTCGTTTTTTAGGGCGAGGGAGGTGATACCAAGGTGCTGTTGGACTTTAATCAAGTCCATGAAAGGAAGAGCAAGTGGGCTGGTTCTGGGGCCCAATAGGAGAAAGAACTGGAAGGCACTCAGGAGGAAACGACAGGAGGGGAAGGTCGTTTAGCATCTGAAATTAACAAGGGAGCTAAAGGAAAATTGGAGAATGCTGGAGAGGGTTCAACTGCTTCACGTGAGGTCAGGTAGCGAGTGAGGCCACGCTGGTTGTGGGATATTGTGATGGCTGAGCAACGTTGAAGAGGCGCAAGATTCCCCTTGCTCTATAACCGTTTTTTGTTATTCCAATTTTGTTATTTTCCATTTCTGAGAAATTCGGTGCGAAGAAAATATATAAGGCTGAGGGTTGTAATCTGGGCAATGTTGAATGAAGTAAATTTCCTTTTATGGAGTTAGGCACTGACTCGAAGAGTGCGATTCATAATAGTTTTCCTAACACAAGGAATATTCAAATGGTCAAAATAATTCCATGACAAATTATTCTTATTTATCCTGTTTTGAATAACAACTAGTATCATAATACGCTAACCCATTCCAATCAAACTTAAAATGTTAATCGTTCATCTCGGGTTGCAAGTATGGTTGGTCCAACCGAGTCGTTCTGGATTGGAGTGAGGTTCTAAACCGTAATGTCTACGTGGCTCGATTATCTTTTGGGAGAAAGAGGGGAATAGCATATTGCAGGGTTCAATAAAAATTAATAGCAGAATTTCTGTAAATGGAAAAAATAGCAGATTTTACACATGACATATCTCAAAATTTCAGAAATGCCCCCAGCTCATACTCCGACCGTCTTTCCCAACTTCCATAGCTTATCTCTCCTCTACCGTCGAGGTTCGCACTGCCGTAGGAGCGTCATTCACTGTGACCTTGCCATCTAGAGCACGGTGACCATCTCAACGGCCGAATAAGCTCAAAGGTTATTCCCGGAAAGAACACCATGAAGAGGTTCGCCTGATTTCACTGAGTCAGACCTCGTCATTTTTTACTTTCCCAAAAATCCATGGCGAGCTGAGTTTGAATCTTTTCGTCGGCACTGGATTACATGGTAAATGATTCATTTACGTGCTAATTGACTCACTTGCCTGGTAAATGATTCACTTATCACTGAAATCATATCTCACCCCTATTTTTTCTCTCTCCTCTCGACTACTACAGATCGATTTGCAACTCCACCTTTAGACACAAAGGAAATTGCGACTTCTCCACATCAATTGAGGATAGAATCTCAACAGTGTTGCGCTTCTCGTCTTTTCTAGCGAGGAGATTCACAGTCTTTGTGATTCCGGCTTCGCGACGACAGGCTTCTCAAAAAGACGGTGATCTTCCCGATGAGAAAGAAAGAGTGCTAGCAAATCAGTGGAGAAAGAGAGAGACGCACACAGAGGAGATGACAATTGCAACAAACGCCGTCGACGATGAAAGAGAGAGCTAGCGAGGGGAGAGTGAGATAAAGAGGAGGGTGGTTGAGACTTGAGAGAGAGAGAGAGAGCGAGAAAGAGGCAAGGAAGTGGGCTGCTGAGAAAGGGAAGAGAGAGAGAGAGAGAAATAGTGGATTAAAATTTTCAAATTTTGGCATTGTAATATGACATTTGTTATTTGGTGTAAAAAATAAGGGTAAAATAGGAAAAACAAATAATTATTTTTTGTTTGAAGAATTTAATATTTGTTACTAGTTAAACATTTAAGTAAAGTCTCCAATATAGTACCAGATTATAGCGGCAAATGTATATTTATTTTAAATATATATATCGGCATGTTCACTTCGCTGATTCAAGTTTAGAATTTGAGTTTAGATGTGACTTTATGTGAGAGCTTGTTACTGTAGTAAAAAAGTTAGATGTGATTGTTTTTGAGAGCTTTTTACTGTAGAAAAACTCGAATTCTAAACTCGAATCAGTGAAGTGAACGGGGCCTATATTTTTTCTTAAAATATGTATATTTTCTATAAAAACATGTATATAAGTGTTTAGATAAATTATGGCCCATTTATTTTATTGATTCGAGTTTTGTTACAGTAAAAAACTCTCAGAAACAGTCACATTTAACTTTTTTGTTACAGTAAAAAGTTCTCACATAAAGTCACATCTCAACTCAAATTAAAAACTCGAATCAACGAACTAAACGGGCCCTATAAGTGTCTCCCCACATTATACATATTTTAAGAAGAAATATACATATTTTAAGAGAAAATATACATATTTTAAAGGAAATATACATATATCACTTTAATTCGGTATTAGATTGGAGACAATTCCTAAACATTTTATGTTGTTTATTACTTTAAGGTTATGATATCTGCTATATACTACATTATCTTTTATCTTTTTTAAATTCATTTTTAAAAAAAGGCATGCCTTTTAAAGCTTTGAGTAAGGCCGGCCCGACCGCAATATGACGGACTTTTAAGATTTTCTCTTTCTTTGTTTGGGTAACTAGTATTGTGTTTGGAGTAAAGATTCGTGTCATAATTTGAATTATAGTTCGTGACTTATTATAATATTTTTTTTAATAAAAAATACATGTAAATTAAAAATGAATTTGAATTATAATCCTAAATCTATTAACTAAACGATTACTAAACCGCAATGGGTGATTTGAACTTGCAGCTTTAAGTGCATCCATCACCTAAATACTACAGCATAAATGATAGAAAAAAGTTTTTTTTCCCCAAAGAAATAGGGAACAGAATAAAATGTCAATTTTTATCTCTCCGCCAAAAATTTTTGTTTTAGGAGGGTAAGTACTTTTCTTTTTCTTAATTTTTTGTGTCAATTTAAAAAAAAAAAAGAAAAAGGAATCGCCCTAATTAGGGCAATTCCAAGTCCCGACCTTTAAATAACGCGAGGCCTGAAGACCTTTTATAGAGAAAAGAACATTGCACAACGCAAGAGTCTTGTTTTGCTATCAGGAGGACGATCGAGATGAGGCTGCTAACACACAACATGTTGTCGTCAAACGTGAAGGGCGTGACGAATGGGTTCCCCCTCGGGATCGAAGTGGAGAAAGTGGTGGAGAAGCAGGTGGAGCTAAGCGCCGACTTCCTCATAAACATCTTCTCCAAGATTGAGTGGAAAGCCCTCGTCGACGCCTCACGCGCCGTCGGCTATGCCGAGCTACCCGATCAGGCCGACGCTTCCATGCTGGACTCCGACGAATTCCTCCGCAAGTTCCACCACGCCCTTCTGGAGCTTCACCTTGAGGAAGGCGCTCTCCTCTGCCCCGAGACCGGTCGCCGCTTCCCCGTCAACAAGGGCATTCCCAATATGCTCCTTCACGAGGACGAGGTCTGATTTCATTTTATTGGACTCATTTATAGTGCATTTGCGCTATTCAACTGATTCACCGGTACCACCGCTTGTATTAGGGTTTTTTTTTATTTTTTTTTTATTTTTTATTTTATAGAATTAAGAGTTTTTGGGTGTGCAAGTAAAGTTATGACATGGTTTGAGCATGAATGAAAATTCTAATGATTTTTTTTTTTTTTTGCGTATTTTTATCAAATTTGTTTCTGAATACTTATTTCGTCTTTTCTGAAAGAAGTTAAATGGTGGTAAAATTAGATCCTCGGCGTAGGAATGAGGCAAACAGAGAAGGAGAACAATAAGCAGTTTCATAATCTTTTGCGGATTCTTGGCCTGTTCGATCGTTCGAACATCTTGAAAGCTTTTTCCAACACTAGTTTACACAATTAATTCTACATAATAAATGGTACTCTGACCCATATATGAAATCAACATTGTTAATAAGTTGCAAAGAATTTCTAAGGCGTAGTTTCTTTTTCAGCAATGAATTTGACCAAACTAGTATTAAATGAACCAACTACATAGATGTAATGAGGATCAAGACACAATGAAACTCTCCCATTAGCTCCGGAGAAGTATTAAAGAGAATTCATCAAAATTTGTGTCAAACCCAAAAGCCGCGACCACTTGGTCCTATTAATCTTTGCAGCGGGGGGTTTCGCATGGTGGGTGCAGAAAGTCAAACACCCAGTTGAGAAGAATAAAGTATTTCGATCGAAAGACTTCCCTCTCATGGGCAGAGCAGTGCATTATGATGGCTGTTGACAAGCTGAAAACCACAACATCAGCTCTCTGCAAGTTCTGCGACTGTGGCAAGTGCCCAGCATCCGCTTAGTTTTGAAGGTTCATTTAGATCTCCTTGGACATGCTTTTATCATGTAATTGGATTTCACATACATCAATGTACGTTATCATCGTTGACAAGGTTGTCATCATCCTCATTTGCTTTCGCTTTTCTGGTCTAATCAATTGAGTTTCATAGGGTTTATGAATTTATCGTTGGTTGAACTATTATTAGAATTGTTCTGAGAAGCAGCTTCTGTATGTTTTGCTGCTATGATTTGTAGCCATTGAATAGACCACATCCTTAACCATGTCGAATTGATGCTAAATTCAATTTTTCATTAATCCTAGGTGGTCTTTTTAAAAGGATGTTTTCTGTGTCTCTAATTCTCTTTGCACTGCAGATGACAGTTGATGCTAATTCTCACGGTAAAGAACTTTGAGACAACTGTAGAAGCCAATAGATTGGCTACAGAGAAAATTTGAACCCCAAACTCGTGGGGTGAAGCTTGAGTTGAAGCTGAAAGGAGATCAAATTAACCACCTGCTAACCATTAAGGAAAACCTGGAGAAAGAAAAGAATGATGCTCAATTGCTAAACGCTAACCTTACTATAAGATTAGATACAACTTTGCTTGAGATAAAAAAAAAAAAAGGTTGGAATCTCTCATTTGTGTACTGGTTCACTATTGGCTGAAGTGGATAAACAAAGTTTGACTTTCTTGGAGAAGTTTGGTCAGCTAAACCCTATCTACAAATCTTGCTTTATGTTGGTGCAGCAGGACAAAGACCTTGCTACCAGGCATGCGCAGAGACAGTATGATCAAATTCATGATACGTTCTTACACATAACCTGAGAAGGACGCATTGTAGTTGGTTAATTTTGAGTTAAAACAATACGGCCCCGTTATTTCAATTTAGTTCTAATGGTGAGCACTGCTCGATATGGCATTTGGTCAGTTAATAATTTGGATTGTTTGGACAGCTTAAACTGAGCTAAACTCGGTTTGAACTGCCAAATTTAGAGTTTACTAAGACCTCGTTTATTTCATCGATTTGAGTTTTCAGTTTTAAGTTTTTACAGTTAAAAGTTCTTAAAAAATATCACATCTAATTTTTTTTTTACTACAATTAAAAGCTTTCAGAAAATGTCATATCTATTCTCAACTCGAATCCGCCAAGCGAACGAAACCTAAGAGAACGTTTGATTTATGTATTTAGATTCATGATTCAGAATTATTCTCGTTTTACGTGTATTTTTTGTGAAAGAAAACATTGTAGAGAATCATGAATTATGATTCAGAATCATGGACGAATATATGAAACAAACGTTCCTTAAAATATTTTTAAACAGTAAAAATCAGCCCATTCATTTGGATTTTTTACATTTTAACTGCACATCTAAACTCTAGCTGGGATTGCAATTCAAACAACACAGTTCAAATCAACCCAATTTTAACCAACGAACCAAATGGAGCAAAACGCAATTGAACTTCAAAAAGTTCAGGAGTCTATCCTGACACAGCTTTCAGAGGAAGCTCAGAAAACAAGGGAAAGGATTCAGAAGCAGGAGTCTGAAGCAGAAATTTTGGTGTCAAAGAAGATTGAAACAGAGCAGTTGGTTGCCAAATGACAACTGAAAATTGATAATTTCTTTCTGAAATTATCGATTGTTTGTTTCATTTGTAATCGGGGCAAAAACTTCCAAATCACACAGTTACAAGATGGCGAAAAGGAAAAAGAACGTGACAAAACCGATAGATTAGAAAGCACAAGTTCTCATTACTCAAAAGCTACGCAAAAGGTACAGAGGTGAAATTCGGTTTTGAAATTGAGAAAAGGGGTGAGGAGAAACAAAAACAACAGGCAACCATTTCCAATTCGCGTGATCATTTCAACAAAACAAAGCTTCAGAAAACCAGATTATAGACATCTACAATCTTCAAGTCACCTTCAAGCTAAAATCAGTTATGTAATTAGACTAAGAACCACTCAAGGCATCAGAGAGATCGAGAGACGAGCAGTAGAAAGAAGGTGAAGACAAAAAGCAGCACCACGAGCTGGAGAAGAAGCTCGAACGAGCCGCAGAGCTTCACCCTCTTGTTGTTCAGACGCTCTCTCGCCAATTGTATCTTCAGATCCGCGATCTCCTTCTTCAGCGTCTCCTCCTGATCAGAATCAGTAAAGAGTTAGGGCGAAAACTTCTCTTCGCAAGCACCGTCTGAAATTGAATCAACAGATAATAAATCGTATAATACCATCTGAAGGTTGAGGAAGCGATTCGCCGACGATTTCAGCGGAGAAAGCAGATGTTCGACTTTGCTTTGAATCGCGATTTGTCGCCGTGTCGCAGCTTCGGTCTTCGTTTGCGCCTTTTTTCCCTCCATTGTTTCGATCTCGTCGACTCCTCGCTGTGTTTTCAATTTTCAGAGTACAAGCGAACTGAGAAATTTGCCGCGCCTTGCTTGCTATTTCGTGTTATAACGAAGCCCAAAAGAAAAAATACATCTACTAAAATTTTTGAAAATAAATTTGCGTGAACGAGGGAAATTGCCAAAATCTAGGGGAAGTGTAATTAATCGTCTCATTAGAAAAAAAAATTAATATTTAAAATTTAATGGGAGAGAAAAAAAAAAACGCTTAAAAAGAGGATACAGAAAATATCCTTCTCCACATGGGTTGTGGGAATCTTTTTATTTTTACTAATTTTGTAACGTGCTCTTATTGTTTTGTTAAATATGTTTTAAGAGTTTATTGTTTATTAAAGAATGAGAAATTTATTTTTATAACTATTTAAAGATTTTTTAATTTATTTTAAAGAAATATGTGTAAAGATAATAATTGAAAAAAAATTAAATTGAGACATGTTTAAAAAAAATTATTTAAACCAACTACGAATAAAATAAGAATATTCGTGAAAAAATTACTTTTATAAGAATAAAGTGAGCAACAAAATATTTTTTTAAAATTCACAAAAATTAAAATCTAAAAAAATTCACAGAAAAATAAAGATAAAAAAGTAAAAAAAGAAAAAGAAAAAAAAAGAATTAAGGCCTAATTCATTTTATCAATTTGAGTTTTCAATTCCTGTTTTGTTACAGTTTAGGCCCCGTTCATTTCACCGATTCAAGTTTAGAATTTGAATTTTGCTACAGTAAAAAGCTCTTAGAAACAATTACATCTAACTTTTTTGTTACAGTAAAAAGCTCTCACATAAAATCACATTCCAACTGGAATCAGTTAACTAAACGGGCCCTTAAAAGCTCTCACAAAAAATCACATCTAACATTTTTAGCTATAGTGAAAAGTTCTCACATAAAATCACATCTAACATTTTTAACTATAGTGAAAAGTTCTCACATAAAATCACATCTAAACTCGAATCTTCGAATTGAACGAGACATAAATAAAGGTGCTACCACGTAAAAACAGCTTGGGCCCTTTTATGCATTGTTAGATTAGATATATAGAATGACATAGGTTGTGTCCAGTGTTATTTTATTTTATTTTTTAAGAAAATGATAGATAATATACCTGCTAAGCAAATATTAAGCAAATACTCTATAAAGATTGCTAAATAATTATTTATTAAGTAATCATTACATAAATGTTGGATAAGTAAAGATTTACTAACTAAAATATTGAGTAATCTAGGTGTGTTCTAAGTAATTCCTTTTGAAAATGTAATCTAGGTGTGTTCTAAGAAATCATCAATTTAATTGATTGAAATTTTTATCATTATTTGAATAGAATTTCATAGTAAGACCACATTGCATTTTATCATCATACAAGAGAGATAAATCCAGATTTGTATTAAACCATCAATGATTAAAAAAATAGATAAAGAAAAAATACAATTTTTTTTAATGAAATAGTGGATAAAGAATGATGTAAAGGAAGATTTAGGTTGTTATTTTTTTTTTTCAATGAGTATGAAAAAAAAAAGAATTGAAATAAAAAATTACGGGGTAACTTATGGTTTCTTTAGAAAGATAAATGTATATTTACTTATCATCAATTACCATTTTAAAAAATGTTTATATTTTCATAAACAAAAGTTTATTATTTATGAAGGTAAATGTATAACTTATTTATCATCAGTTACCATTTAAAAAAGGATTGCATTTTAATAAAGAAAATTTTGTTAACAAATAGAATTAAACCCTAATTTCTAAAGTCAAAAATCCCAAATCAACCCCAAATTAGGGAAAAAAAAAAAACTCAACTTTAATTTCCTAATCCTTATCTTAACCCTCACCCTAAACCCCCCCTCCTAATTGTCGCAGCCAGTCTATATATTATAACCAATGGCTACGTTGTGAAGACTGAAGAGCATCCCATAGTGACGATTGACCCATTACGTAACGAGGAGCTTCTCACAGTGACTGACGACAGTAACAAAGTAAAACAACAAAGGTAACATTGCCGATGAGAATTTAGATTTTATTTTTTCAAGGAAGATATGTGAGTTTTACATGTTATTAGTTCTCTGAATTTTTAAGAAATGATTAATCTTATATTTTTTATTAATTATTTTCTCAATTCAAGTTTTATCTAGTTTTCGTTCCTAATTGTAAAACTGTTGATATACTTTCTTATTGTATAATAATTTGAAAAATGCAAGATTTTTTAGATTTTACAGTGTTTTTAAGAAATTATCAACCAAAAGAAGTGTTTCCAAGAGAGAAGTAAAGAAAATTTTTACATTTTATATGGCCATCTTTATAGTTTTTAAGTCACCATGTAATGAATAGGTGACATGTTATTATAATTTTAAATGTCTATTATGAACTTTATGATTAGATAACCACGAATTGTATAAATACATACAAAATCTTAAATTGCTACAATATTGTTCTAACGATAATAATTATTATTTTTATCGTTAAATTAATTTTTCAACGGTAAAATTTATGACTATATGCCTTAATCATAAATTAAACTGTTAAAAAAATTAATCCGACTAAACAAAAGTTAGTATCAATATGAAAAAAATATAACAATTCATATAATAAAATTCCCGCTATTTTATTTCTATCTTTATGTTTTCTATTGCACAATTTCTTCATGAAATGACGGTACATCATATGCAAGACAAATATTATCTGCGCGAACGCCAAGGGCGGCAAAAGGCGAGCCTTTGTTAGCGTGTCTGTGTAATATATATGCAGAGCGCACGGCCCTTCTACTTCCCTTTATAAACCCCCAACCTGACAATCCCAAAACCCACAAAAATTCATCTTCACTTTCCACGAAAATTGTTTGTTTGTTTCTCTCTCGTCTCTTTCTCGGACTTCCCTAACTTGTAATGTATTTCCTCGGCACAGATGAGCGGTCAAGAATCTGATAGCCCCAAGAACAAAGTGTTAGTGGGGCTGCCTTTCGATACTCCAGTTGTTGATATTGAAATCAATCCATATGTTAATGTCGCCCCAAAGAAATCTTCCATTAGCGTCCCTCAACATACTTTCACTTATTCCTGGTTTGTTTTCTTTCCTGGGTTTTTTCTTGTTTATTTTGATTTAGAAGGTTGAAGAAACCCCGTTTGGTTGCCGAGAAAACAGAGGGAAGAAAAAAACTCAACTTTGAATAATTTCTTTTGTGTACCCGTCAGTTTATTTGGGTTTCTTGAATGTACTGACCTAAATTTAAACGTACAAAGGAATTCGACCTGTCTCGCTTGAAATGTACTCTTTCATAATTACTTGGTGATCAAGCTCCGGAAATATTAGGTTTCTGGTTTTCTTGTTTTTTCTATTGGTAACTTATGAATTTATCTTCAAGCCAAATAAATAAATAAATAAATAATCTGTGAATTTATTTGCGGCAAAAGAATGATGCAGAACTGGTTTTGTTCCGGCTTCTGATTTTCTTTACTCTCCATTTCTTGATATTTTTGGTCATGAAGCACGTCAAAGAAAGAGTTTTAATGATAAATCAAGAAAAATGAGTACTAGTTATTTCAGGACCAAGCAGCTTGTAGTCTCACGAATAGTGTTATGACCCAGTGATCTAGCTGAGCACAAGGATAGATTTTAATCTTTTCCTTTTTTTTTTAATCTTTAAATGGCCAAGGTACTTAAGTTTTTCTCGTCAAAAAATTAAAGACTAAACAATAGTTGCATATATTGTGAGTGCATTGGTGTTTTCCATGTATACTAGGCATTTGACATAGAATTTCTTGTACTAGAAGGAGCTCCTTGTTGATTCCAGTTCTTTACCTTTTTATTATTATTGTTGTTGTGGGAGATGCTAGGTTCATCACTAATGCACTGTAGATATCTTATCGTTATTGGCCAACTATTGCTCAATGACATATTACTTTCTGATATACAGGTATCGAAAGCAGATCAGCTTTCATTGTTCCATACACCCTGATAAGTTGGCCACACTTCAATGTAACGTTTGTGTGAAGTTGAAACTACCAGTTGAGGAGAGTTACTATTGCTCTAGGTGCTGCTTCATTAACGCGTGGAAAAAGCACAAGGTCTCTCATGATCAAGTCAATGGAACTGACAGAACCGCAAATGGACAAGCAGGAGGAGAACTCAGAAGTAGTGGCCCATGGCATTGTAAAGATTGGACTAAGGTTGAATGGGTCAAGGTTGGTTCTTCAAAATCTTATAAACCCACATCGGATGATTATGGTTCCATTCTAAAGCTGGAAGTCGTAGCAGTAGATTGCTCAACAAGTGCTCAATTGTCTCCCATAGCGGTCGTATTGGAGAATCCTGTGATTAATGCTCCTACTCGTGAGCCTCGTCGCATAATCAAATGTTCGCTGAGTGGTGGGAACTTTGACACCAAATGTCATTCTAAAAAGGATGCGACATTCAGTGTGCTATCCTATAATGTCCTTGCTGCTGTGTTTGCTAGCCGGGAAAGGTACAGCTACTGTCCCACATGGGCTCTTGTATGGGAATATCGGAGGCAAAAATTACTCAACGAAATCATCGAGTATGATGCAGATATAATTTGTCTTCAGGAGGTGATTGTTAATGTTAGCCTGACCAATATAAATATGTGTATGTGCGCATTACAAATCTATTCATGCAAAAGCAGGTGCTACGTTTGCCTTCTTTCTTATCAATCCTCTAGCTTATACATTGACCTTGTTCATTGCACAGGTGCAAAGTGATCATTTTGAAAGTTTCTTTGAGCCAGAGCTGACAAAACGTGGTTACTCCGTTATGTACAAGAAGAAAACCCAATTGGTATTGTTAAAATGTAACCCGATACTAACAGTAGTGTGATTTTAATATTTAGTTTTGGGCCATGAATCTTACCATCCTTTGTAAGGCATATAAACTAGAATAGAATAATAGATGTAACGTTTCTTTGCAGGAAGTTTCTGAGTTTAGTTCTTTTTACCTCTCTCCCCCTCTCTTTTATTGTTGTGTTGTTCATCGTCATGTAGTGACAACCTTTTAGAAATCATTCATGTTAAGTTGTTTGGTAAACTGGAAGTAAGAAAAGTAGAAGTGGCCGTCTGTTTGATAATTTAACTCTTTAATGTCAAGTCATGTTGGAAAACCCTCACTTATCATGGGAAATTTAAAAGCAAATTTTCATTTAAATAAATTGAACGTTACTCTTTATACACACACAAGCACTTAGAGTTAAAAGGTAATAGGTCTGGCATTGAATTTTGAAAGTTGGACTGAATTGTTCTTGGCATTATTACCGGTTTGGATTAATGAAAAATTCCTGACGTACAAATTTCAATATAAAAAAAGGGTGAAAATAGTAAAGGGAGATGGTTGAAAGGTACTTGGAGGTGCGCTTCTCTGTGCACCCAAATGTGCTTTGGCAAATAATACAGCCACGCCTTTTTCTGTGTCTTGGTCTTAGAGATCTCACTAAAACCTGGTAAAACTTTTTAAAAAGGTTTACTGATTTGCTAAGTTTTCAGTAACATCTTGATAACATATTTAAGGATATCTTGCAGCTCTATACAGCTAACAAGTACGTAAGTGATGGGTGCGCCACATTCTACCGGAGTAAGCTATTCAAAGTCATAATGAAACATGAGGTGAGAAGTTTCTGTTCACATACTAAGGAAACTAATGTTTGTCTCTAATAATAATCTTGATATGAGATAATCTGTTTTGCTTCCTTTAGGTCGAGTTTGAGAAATTAGCAGAGAATTTGGTCAACGCATTGCCCCCTCATCTAAGAGAAAAATATAGCGTCCGCCTGGCGAAGGTATTCACTCTTCACTACATGTGGGTTTTATTTTATTATTATTATTTTTTTTGAATCATCAGTTTGCTTCATTACAATTCTCAGTAAGTTACGAATATGAAGAGGGAATTTATTCTATCATTTCCTGAACCTTCATTTTTCAGGGCAATGTTGCGCATATTGCTGTATTAGAAACTCTAGACAATGAGAGATTTCGAGGTGTTCTCCAGTCTAGAATTTGTGTGGTATTATTTTTGTTTCATTTTCATTCCATTTTACTATACATTTATTTTGTTTTATCTGAGAGTGGTGACGTGGTCTTGCAATTTAACCATAGGCAAACACTCACATCCACGCAAATACAGACAGTCCAGATGTAAAGTTATTTCAGGTGCAGTATCTTATGCGTAAATCACTTCTTTTTGTTGATTCTTTTTTTTTTTTTTTTATCCTTCAAGATTCTATTGAATGACGTTTGATGAATCATATGGATTTGATTGTGTCCTAAGGTTGTGGGGCTTGTCAATGTACTTGGAGGAAATTGTCCAGTCTTTTCTTTTTTTGTTGATTCTTTTTTTTTTCCCTTCAAGATTATATTGAATGACGTTTGATGAAACATATGGGTTTGATTGTCCTAAGGTTGTGGGGCTTGTCAATGTACTTGAGGAAATTGTCCAGTCTCATATTCCTCTATTGATCTGTACAGATCTCAACTCTCCTCCGTTAAGGTCAGTCTCCCGTTAGTGTTATTGAATTGCGTGCCGGGCAGTAGTATGTTTCCGACTTTCTGTTTCCAATATATAAGTACATCTAGAATTGGAGGAAAATGGTAAAAACTTTGTTCGCCTTAGTAATTCAAAACGTTGTCTTACTTATCACAATGTTCTTTATTGTGGGAATGAAAGGGACAGGGATTATATTCTTTTTAATGGTTTTGCAGTGATCCTCATAGATTTATAGTTAGCGGCAGGTGCAATCTTGTTGATAATGAGATAAAGGAGCATTTGGAGTTACTTCATTATCTCAAGATTCACCATTCGTTGCCTCTGGTAAGGCCATTTTCTACTGCCAAGTGCGTCTATTGCGTAGCTTGAGTACATAAAATAATCTGTTTTTAAGTGTTAAATGCCACTTGCGGTTTGCCCGATTAGTTACTTTTTATCTGATTTTCAGTGGTGGAAGCTTCTTTTGCTTGTTCTTTTATTTTCTAACACTATCTGGGTTCCTTTCCAGGCAAGTGCATATGCTTCGTTTCCTGTTTTGGCTGGTGATGAGAAACGACTGCAGTTTATGGACACGAAAGCTAAGGAGCCTCTGTTCACCAACTTTACAAAAAACTTCGCAGGAACTTTGGATTACATTTTCTATACAGGTACTCTTTTTGTCTCTGTCTTATTTGAATCATGCATCAATCTTTTTACCTTTGTTTACTCTAATATGGTTTGCTGTGCGTAGAAAAAGTGTGTTTGAGTTCATTTCAAATTGTAATTCTTCTCTATACTAACCAACCACATGACATATTGGACACCTTAATCAATTTTTGACTTTTGCCCTGGAATGTTCGCTCATTTAGTAGTCTCTTGCATCTTCACGGTTGACCCTTTATTGCTGTTTGTCTGCTGTGACATCTCAATGTCACGTAGAGTTGATTTCAATCCACCACAATTGTGTTGTTTCTTGTTATCTGAGTTTATATTAATTTTTTTTTTCTTCTTTAGGATTGAAAAACTTTTCTTTTTCTGTAAATTTGCACTTATTTCTTCGATGTGATATTCTCTAGCTTTACTCTTTCATGTACCTTTCTGAAGGATTGATTGTCCAGAAAAGGTCCTTTCAAATGCTAGAGATGAAGGAACTATTTGATAGTTAGGTTTCTCCTTTATCATACTTGGCCGCTAATTGCATATGATGCTTCCTGCAGAGAACAGTTTGAGGGTTGAAGGCCTATTGGAGCTTCTTGATTGCGAACGCCTTGGTCCTGGTCTTCCATCTTCTGTTTGGCCATCAGATCACATCGCCCTCATGGCAAGGTTTGGCCTCAAGCCACCACCTGCTAGGGTGGGACAGCGCTCACCACGATCTCCTCTGAACTCGTGGGTGAAAACAGGAGCTAGACAGTGATGACTTCTAGATTAACATGAGGTGCTTGAAAGATTAGCATATTAGGTAACATCTATACATTTCTATTATTCACCGATTTCTTAGAGCGATAGGCTGATAGCAGTAAGCAGTGGCGGGGAGGTTTTTGTTCCTTTAGGAAAGGTGATGATGCATGAAAGACAAGCATCTCTAAGCCTTGTTCTTTATAATTGGGCCCCTTTTAGGAGTCTCGTTACATTACCTAACCAACAAATACCTTTAACCACTAATCAATCTTGATAGTGAGATTTAAAATGTTTTCCAATTTTTTGTTATGGTGCTCTGAAATGTTTTCCAATTTTTATATCAGAATCAACTCGTTGGATGATGGACAATTTGAGCTACTTTTTTCTGTTTGTTAGATTCCATTGAGAGATCAGAAAGAGTAGTGCTTGAGTTAAGCTTGTTGAAATGGTCGTCTGTAACATGGTTTTTTTCCGACTGAGTGATGCCTTTTTTTTTTCATTTTTATTTTGCCTTTTTTGAGAAAGAGTTATTAGCTTGTTTTTCCTGGTTAGTAAAGGTAAAACGTAAAAGAGTGTAACCGAAAAATTGAGAATAACATGATCTAAATACTGCCTCAACATGTTATGTTATTTGTTATTATTATTGTTATTACTATTACTGCTACTACTTTAAAAATTTAAAGGTCAACATTTCCTTATTTTATGATTATTTTTTATTCTTGTACGACATTAACTTTAGACCTTAATATTGTACGTAGATATAGACAGTACAGTCTGCAACCCTCTACTTTATGGCACTATTAGTTTTTTTTTTTTGAAGTAATTTTTGACATGGGAATGCACTGACAAATCAATACATAACACCTTGGCAACTATTTTTGGTGCGAGTATAAAAAAAAATAGTAGGAAAAAGGGCGCCAAAATACAACGGCTATGAAAGCCTTATTTATTTATTTTGAAATGGCTATGAAAAATCTTTATGGATTAATATTGTTCTATAAATCCCTTATCCTGGTACGTCACATAATTATTTAATGGCCGTTGGATCGAACAAGCGGTAACTTTGAAAAGTGAGAACAGTCAAGGAAACCAAACTACTCATTAAACTAAACTAAACGAAAGTATTTGCTCAAAAAAAAAAAAAAGTAAAGTAAAGAAATGAAAAATATGATTAAAAAAGTCAATTACTTGTTTCTTAAGGATGAACTATCGCTATTTTATTCAAGGAACATGTAAGCATTGTACTCTCACATCAGATAAAATGTGAAAGAAAAATAGAAAAAAAAAAGTGCATCTTTCCAACCATAAGAAAGAAAAACCACAAAAGACAATCTGGAAAAGGTTAAAAAAATAAAAAGAGAAAAACTTTGGAAAAGCAGCTAAACAATTTATAATGTTAGCGGTGGAGACTGGAGACCGGAGAATGGCGGCCGGTTTGACATCGTCACTCACCTACTAAAGGTATTGTCGTTTCGGTCAGATGTCCAGGTGTCGCAATGTTATTAGGTGATTCACTACCTGAATATATATATATATATATAGAGTCGCAATGTTATTAGGTGATTCACTACCTGAATATATATATATATATATATATAGAGAGAGAGAGAGAGAGAGCGCTTACGGGCGATTTGTTTGTGAGAAATGTGAAATTTAGGCCTCGTGTAGATTTAAATTTTTAATTTAAATTGAGATGTAATTTTATATGAGAGTATTTTATTAAAAAAATTAGATATAATTTTTTTGTGAGAGCCAAAATTAAAATTAAAAACGTGAAATGAACGATGCTCGTTTGTAGAGAAGACATGAATATACTTGAAGAATCTGATGATGAGAAATTCGAATGCCAAGTGGTGGTGATGTTGCCTTCTCGTACTCCGGTAGTTGGTATTGAAATCAATCCCAATTCTGCATTTTACCTGGTTATCTCTCTCTCTCTCTCTTCCTTCTTACAAAATTTATTTTGCGTTTTCTTTCTTTACTTGTTCTAAATCAGAAGGGCCTGTCTGACTATGTGTTTGGTTGCCAAGAAAACAGAGGAAAAGAAACCGAGTTTTGGATAATGTTTATATACTCTTCGCTGCAGTTATGGTTTCCAATATTTTGAATTTTGCTTTTGGTGCTCAAGATTACAATTCGAGTTCTTCGTTTCATGTTGTGTCACCTTTGAAATGAACTTTTTTGTTTTTTTTTTGTTTTTACCCGTATTCTAATTTCCTTGACAATTATTGTATTTTAATATATGTTGATTCTCTTCCATTATAACTTTCGAGTGGTTCGTTACTTGAGGAAAATACAATAATTCTTCTCTTCTCAGCACTTGAAAATACAATACTTTTTTTTTTTTCTACAATCAAGATTTGTCACTTTTACATATACAGGTATCGGAAGGAGATTAGTTCTTGGCCAAGATCGGATTAGTTGTTCACTTTACAATGCACTTCGTGTGGGACACTGAAAATACCAGTTGATGAAAGTTACCATTGCTCTTCCAGCTGCTTCATACAGGCATGGCAAATGCACATGATCTCTCATAGCCGCGCAGCCGAAATTGTGATCGCCAAAAATGAAGAAGCGGTAACAAAATAAGTCAGAAGTTGTGGCTCATGGCATGAGAATGAAACAACATTAATGGTTGAGCAATGGGTTAAGATTGGTTCTTTAAAATCTTATGTGCCCACATTGGATGATTTGGGCTGCATTCTGAAGCTGGAATCTGTGGCTGTGGATTGTTCAACAGGTACTCATTTGTCTGCCATGAACATCATAGAGACAAACCTGTGGTTACTGCTCCTATTTCTCGGCCTCGTTGCTTTTTTTATTGTTCGCTGAATGGTTTGAATTTTGACCCCAGAGGTCAAGTGACATTCAGTGTGCTATCCTATAATGTCCTTGCTGATCTTTATGCTAGGAGGAGCAAGTACAGATACTGTCCAACGTGGGCTCTAGTATGGGAATATCGCAGGAAAAAGTTACTCGATGAGATCATCAAGTATGATGCAGATATCATTTGACTTCAGGAGGTGATTCTCGTCATTAGTTTGCACACGCACACACAGACAATATCGGATTAATAACAAAAACCTCTGGTGTTATTATCCTTATTGTATATACATTGTGAAACTGCTCTTAGGGCGTCTTATTGAACATCACTCCTTTAGCTTATACATTATACCTTGTTTATTGGGCAGGTACAAAGTGATCATTTTGAAAGTTTCTTTGAACCAGAGTTGGCAAAACGTGGCTACTCCGCTATGTACAAGAAGAAAACCAAGGAGGTAATATGGAAATGTGACCTGATTCCAAGAGTAATGTGCTTTTAGGATTAAATTTTAAGTTCCGCGTAGGTGTTAATTACCCTTGGTGAAATTGTGGAAAGGTATAACTGGGAAATTTCCAGAAATAAAAGAGAAAAGATATTAAGGAGATTGTTGAAAGGCACTTGAAGATGTTTTTTCTATATATATATATTTTTAATCGGTGCACAAGTAGTTACGGAAATGTGCACCAAAATGAATGAAACATAGCATCACAGCATCATGCCTTTTTTATGTCTAGGTTTAAGCGATCTCAGTAGACTTGTAAAACTTTATTAAGAATCTTGATAGAAAGTGAGCTCAGTAGACTTGTAAAACTTTATTACGAATCTTGATGACTTTCTATCTAGATGTAACACATTGAATAAATATCTTTCAGCTCTATACAGCTAACAGGAACATAATGGATGGCTGCGCTACATTTTACCGCAGCACGCTGTTCAAAGAGACTGCAAAATATGAGGTAAGAAAGTATTTTTTGTTCTTGACATATGAAGCAAACTAATATCTATTCTTGTTGGCACGGAGATAATTTGAATTGCTTCCCTGTAGCTTGAGTTTGACAAAACAGCATTGGCCTTTGTTGAAGCACTGGAACCTCAGCTTAGAAGTGAAGGTAGCTTCCGTCTGTTGAAGGTATTCAATAATCTTCTTGTGTCTTCTTTCTCTGAATCATCAGAAAATATTTTACATACAAGTTTTTATTTAAGGGTATAAAGAGGGAATTCATTCTATCACCTTCTTGTCCTTCATTTTTCAGGGCAATGGTATGCTTGTTGCTATATTAGAGATTCGAGACAATGAAAGATTCTGTGATGTTTTCCCATCTAGAATTTGTGTGGTAATATTTTTCGTTTTACATCCTTTTTTTTTTTTTTTTTTTGGGTAAGGAGGGAGTAGTGACATGGTTTTGCACTTTAACCATAGGCAAACACCCACATCCACGCCGATTCAAACATTCCAGATGTGAAGTTATCTCGGGTGCAATCCATTATTGTTTGTTTGCTTGTTTGTTTGTTTTGTGAAGAATCATTGAATCAATCTTAATGAAGGATAGGGATTTGATTGTGTCATCTTATGTGACCTTAGATTGTTAGCCTTATCAATAGACTTGAGGAAATTGTCCATCCTCAGATTCCTCTACTCATTTGTGGGGACTTCAATTCTCTTCCCACAAGGTTAGTCTTCCGCTGCTGCTAATGAAGTCCGCCACCAAAAATGACAATAGTATTTTTCTGATCCACCATATAATATTTTTTTTTCTACAATTGGAGAGAGAAAGAAGAAAATTTGTTAGCATGAGTAATTCAAAACCTTATCTTATTTATCGCGATCTTTGTTCTTGTGGGAAAAACAAGAAAGATGGATAACGTTTTTTAAATGCTTTTTCAGTGATTCTTATACGTTTGTGGTCACCGTCAGCTGTGATATTGTTGATAATGAGAAACAGGACCCTTTGGGGATATTTAATCATCAAAGGCTTCAGCATTCCTTGCATCTGGTAAGGCTGTTATTTTTAGTGCCAGGTGCTTCCACTGCAAAGCTTAAGAACATAAAAGATGAACCCCCAACTTTAGGTGTTAAAGCCAAAAAGCTTCTTCTGCCTTTTTCCTTTTTTTTTTTTTTTTTTTTTTTTTTTGAATCTACTAACACTAGCTAGGTTCTTTTTCAGGCAAGTGCATATGCATCATTTTCTCTTTCTGTTAATGTAGAGGATCAACTGATGAAGATGGACCTGGAGACCAATGAGCCTCTATTTACCAATTTTACAAGAAGCTTTTCAGGAACTCTTGATTATATTTTCTATTCAGGTGCCTTTGGTATTCTGCCCAATTTGCATCATGTAACGATTTTCTTACCTTATTTTGGTTTAATATGGTTAGTTGTGCCTTGAAAGGTGTGAATTGATTTGAAATTGTGATTTTCTTCGATGTTAACCAACCATATGATAATATTGCACGCATGAAACAACCTCTGAATTCTGCCTTGGAACTTTAGGAAACACCAACGAACATTTAGCTATTTGTAAAACCTCTTGCATCTTAGAGGTTGATCCTTTAAGAATTGTTGCCAGTCTGTTCTTCAACATTGAGGATTTTGTTTATCAATTCAAATACTTTTCCTTCTCAGCAAATTTGAACGTGCATCTAAGACTTTCTAAATGATTTTTTTTTAATAAAAGAAAATATCCTGTCAAATGTTGGTAATGAATGAACTATTTTGCTAGTTAGTTTTCTCCATAACCATGTCTAAACGCAAACTTTGCTTCCTACAGTGAACAGTTTGAGGGTTGAAGACCTATGGAGCTTCTTGATCGCAAAAGCCTCCGTCCCGGTCTTCCATCCCCTGTTTGGCCGTCAGATCATATTGCCCTCATGGCAAGATTTAGCCTCAAGCCGCCACCTATTAGATTAGGACAGTGCTCACCACAACCTCCTACTTACTCAGGGTAGAAAATATCAACTAGAGAATCTTTTTAATATATTCTAGGACTAAATTACAGAAGTTCACTCTTAATGCTAACTTTTTCCACAATTTTTAGGAATGATAAAAGTACGCCTTCTGTTTGCTAAAACAATAAATATGTACCGAGTCGTAGTCGATTTTTCAACGGAAGAAAGCAGCAGCGTCGCGGTTATTGCTTCTTTAGGAAAGCTGAAGATGCATGAAGGATATACATTTCTAGCCTTTATTTTTAGGAGAAGTCTCATTACATTACCTAATTAACTTAACTACTAACCAATCTTGATGACGACATTCAAAAACTTTCTTTGTTCCGCTATATCACTGTCATGTAACGCATGATGGTTACCAAAATGCAGTTAGAACTCATTATTGCTCACATGATGGTTGTTAGGTGCTAACTGTAGCCATCCCTCCTAGTTCACTATATCGAACTCTTTTTTTTTTTTTTTGAAATTTTTTTGTAACGATTCAGAACCTTCACTGTAACTTGTTGTTATTGGTACATGCACGTAAAACATCTACAGTTTGTTGCATGAAAAGCATTTTCCTTTTTTTTTTTGGGGTGCTGCTTTAATGGGATCAACTCGTCCCCAAGATTAGAAACCAAGAAATTTGTAATTTTCCAATGATGGCATTTCAGTATGTGGATAAGGCCGCATGTAAACTGAGGTCACACATTGAAAATGAACCAAATTGGGCATTTAGTGAGGATGAAGCGTACAACACTATCTAAGCTAATTAATGGCATGGCCAGTCTCTCCTTTATGTTGCAGTGAGCAGTAATATTTTTGAATGTACTCAACTTGTTGGACGACAATGCCCACAAACTAGATTACATCCTCTTTATTATATTTTTTTGAACGTTTTCTTGTTGAGATGGTCTTTGACCATTTGCAAAAGTTGCCAAGCCTTTTTTTTTTTTTTTTTCCCCTCTAGTGTTTTCCCTTCGTCTTATTAATGCAACTGCAACATTAACTCTGCATCTGAAAGAAAGGTGATTTCAATCTTGCTTACCAATTTCTGCCATAATGTAGTGGTGAGTAAATGACGCTCCAATAACTGTGTGCCCAGTTTCAGATTATGGGATGAACTGAGATAATTCAGGTTGTTTATCAACTCACCCCAAAACTCTCGTCCATAATCAAGAAGAAAGTGAAAATCACACCCAATCTTTTCTCCCATTTCTCACTCCTAGTATATTTAAAAAAAAAGGTGCAAAAAAGCAAGAATAAAATAATAAATAAATCAAAATAAGTAAAAAGAAAAGCCAACTAGCGGCAACTGACGCGTTGCCGAGAATTGTAAATGTTAAACAAGGACAATAAGAAACTTCGTCAGTAACAGACGAGGAGACATATTTTAGTATCCAAGTTCTTGAAACCAAGATGTCCAAGACATATGCCATACTTAAAAGACAAATTTAGGATGATACCACTTGTATATTTACATTACATATTATAAGGTCAGTTCACATTTCGCTAGAGATATAAGAACTATAATAAGCCAATAAACAGTAAGCCTACAAGCAAGACTCTGCTTTCAAGAGAGCCAAAATGAAAACTAGTAAAAAAAAAAAAAAGGTAAATACGATAGAAAAGGGGGGAAAAAAAGAAGAAAGGAAAAGAAAAGGGGGTCATGTTCCTAATTACTTTAAATCCCAGCCTTTGTGATCCCATACTGGCAGAAGAAACTCCTACTACTAGTAGTTCTAGAGCTTGACTTGAATAAAATTAGTTGAGGGACTTTTCTCAGGCGGGTGCATAAACTTGCAATTTGGGCACGCAGGTGAGGACCTGCATAGCATCACCAACATGTGGCATCTCATGCACACCGTCGCCACCATCTCTTGTTGATCGGCTTCGAAGGCCAGCCACGACGGACAACTATTCTTCTTCTGTTTATTGGTGGTAACTATTGAGAGATCAGAGAGAGTAGTGCTTGAATTAAGCTTAGAGAAATGGCCGTCAGTGGCTCGGTTTTTCCTCGGTGAATCGCTTGTTGTTAGGTTGAGTTCAAGGTCTAAGCTCATATGATGATGATCATGATGATCGCTCGGACTAATTGCCGGCTGAGGAGTGGTAGTAGCACTTCTTGGATCCCTAGATGTTCTTGTACGTGTCTTTGTGTTGTAAAAATGTATCTTCCCTGACTGCATATATACGTATATATATGTATGACATAATATACTCACGTAAGTACAAACACACGTATATATATACAATATGCACGTAAACATATATTCAGAGATGAATATGATACATGAAGAGTTAAGCGCGATACCTGAATGTCAAGGCACCTTTGCCACTCCGAAGGTAATGGAGTCTCAAGGTGTAACTCAATACCAGCCATGAAATTTTGGCCTTCTGCTTTGTACCGTTTCTCGAAAACTTGCTCCCTATAATCAAACGGGTCTTCCCACTTCCTCTTCTGCAAAGAATTCTCCGAATCGGGACTCGGCTTCCTTCGATCCGGAGAGAGGGGAGATTGGAGGGACACCATGGCTTTCAATTCTTGAACGATGGATATGAAAAACTTCTATATATGTACTAGAGTCGTCACTGAGTTATTAGAAGATATCAGAAGTTTTGGAAAGAGTTTCGGTAGTTATATAGGCCTGAGAGTGTTTTTGGATATTAACTGCAAGGGAGAATCTAGTAGTAGCTTGGGGAGCAAACTTGAATATAAGGTAGAACTGAATAAAAAGGACATGCCCTAACAATGCATGACGTGTTTACCAAGTTGGCTCATCAATTAAATCTGTACACTTGAGCGCTCTCCAAGCTCGCTAGCTCTTAAAAGCCTAGGATGTGAAATTTGAACCAACTCCCACTTCGCTCTATTTTTCAATATAAATGAAATTTAAGAAATACTAGTATCATTCTTTCTGTCATTTTCTACATTCATTGTTTGACACATGGATTATACTTATCTTATTTTATGTTAGTGGAGTTCACATGTAAAACAGTAAGTGTAGAAAGTAACATAAATAGTAAAAGAAAAAATAATGCTAGCATTTTTTAAAAAAATTTATTAGTTAATTCACTAATACTACTATACATGCCAGACCATCTGACTAGGGTTTGCCTTTTCAATTCTCTCCAATATTGTAATAATATATTTAAAATGCAAAGTGTAACATGTCATTTTTTTTTCTGTGTAACAATAATTAAAAAAAAAATGTAACATTGTCGTCTGTCATAAATAAATTTTTTATTGTGATGCTTTTCAAAAACCATTGATAGAATAAATACCAAGTCACCTTCATTTATTCTTTTTTCTTTTTTGGTAATACCAAGTCACCTTCGTCTAAAGATCAATCGAAGCTGCCATTATCTTAATATGAACTTTTGTTTCCAATATGAGTATTCTAAAGAAATTAATCCAAGCCAAAATAAAGCTGGTTGGCTGGCCAGTTTAGACAAGCTAGAACTAAAAGCCAAACTTATAAAGCAGTCCCAAAAGGGCCAATTTTCTCTCGAGGGATACTTAAATGTTATTATTAACATTATGAGAGGCGGTGAGTGAATATGAGAGTGGAAGAGGAAGAGGTGCAATAGAAATGGGGTCATTAAATGATAGGAGTCTGTGTACAGTTGAAGAAGGCTCTTGAATGCCTACGGAAACTTTAATATACACAATAACTCCAACTTCCCACAATTGGTTACTTTTAAAGCTCTCAACACCCTCCCTCCTTCACTCCCTCTGCCATTAAATTAAAAACAATAACCAAATCCCATGAGCGCTGTGAATTGATAATCACTACAATATATATATATATATATATATATATATATTATTCATATATACCCTCACACACACTTTTATTGCTCCCAACACCCCCAATTCCATTAAACCAAGCATGTCCTATATACAAGCAACCTTGCCCTACAACTTATGCCCTAAAATACGTACGTACGCCCCCCGAAGTTGCTCCTACCAATTAATATATACCTACATGGATTGTTTTGATGATTCTATCATAAGTAATTCATTTATGTATAAAATCATGGATAAATTCTCTTGGTACAAATTTCTGAATATATGATCGGATTACATTTGCATCCGTGGCGGAGTCACATCTTTTTTTTTTTTTATTTTTTTTTATTTTTAATTTTTTCAATAGGGGACACTATTAAAAATACAGAGATACTTTTCACTCAACGAGAATAGTGTATATATTTAATTATTCTATAGAGGCACAATTATAATTTTCTTTATAGAGTGCGGACACAACTGAAATTTTATGAGCATTTTAAATTTTTAAAATTTGTATGGAGACACGTGCCCCACTTGACTCCGCCACTTATAATAATAATAATAATAATAATAATAATAATAATAATAATAATA